TAGAAATGTTCACATAGCCTGGGTCGTTTTATTCAATTTTTTTATCACAAGCGTTAGCTGTTTTTGTTTTGTTTTTTCTATGCAGACCAAAATAATCGGAAAACGTTTAATTTTGTTTCCTTAATTGCACAGATTGTCAGCTTAATTTTACTTCTTTTAGTTGCTTTTACATGACCGAGTACCAGAATGTCCTACCACAGAGTAGGTAACCTGTCTAAAAAATCATATTCTCCGGGGTCAAAAGTCGGTAATATGAAAAAAGTGTATTGCATGACTGGTCAGGTGGTGATTTGTTCTTTACAAGATATTCTTATTAATGTTTTATTAATGATAAGATGAGTAATGCTATTTGAACTGTATATTCATATTCAAATATAAAAGATAAACTATCTTGATATTTTATTTTCTTTACAGGGTAAAAATAATAACGTTATGTATGATTGACTGGAAAACATGTCAAGAAGCAAAATGGTATTTATTTGTCATATGTTTGAAAAAACAAATTAATTCAATTTCACAGTGAAGAAATTAAAAGACAATAACACAGCTAGTATACATAAAAGCGCAAAAACTGTTGGTGTCGTATTGATAATGTAACACTTAATGAAATTGATGGCATGTTGAAACATTTTTACCATCAACAAATCAATCCAATCAGATTGTAAACCTAAATATGAAGTTTTGATTTTTTATGAAAGATTTGAAATCCATGCTAAGAATGGTAACTCCAAATTGGTTTTGTATATAAAATTGATTCGCTTCTGATCATAGGCTGTCCATATGCATCTATACAACAAGGAAATTGAATGGAACTTCAAGAATGATTCCGTGCGTGCAGTAACTTAAATTTTACTGTTAATGTAGAATTGGGGTCTTCCGTCGTCTTGGATCGTAAAATAACAGAAAACGATCGGTCTTGATTTTTACAGAAATATGCACATTTTGAGGTAGGAATACAATTCATTTATACTGAAGTCTTTCCTTTTCCTGAGATATTTTTCATATCTTTACGACTGTTTTCACAAATACATTTAAATGGAGAACATTTTGTGATTATCATCTGATTTTTATGAGAGATTTCACAAATTTATATTTCATTTTAATTGATGACAATTCTTTTTTAAATTAAGCTCAATAAGGGGAGACAACTCAGATAATTTGATTGAAGGATGTAGTTAGGTGAAATTTAAAACAATCTAGAATTTAAAATTGATACCATAAGTCAGAGGAGCATTAATAAAGGAACAGAATAAGCTAAAATATTGATAGGTTCTGGAACTCCTTTTTGCGATATTTGATTTTTTTTAAATGACGGGAAAGGCTGACTCGCACTTTTACATTATATTTAGCATTGGCATTATTTGGGTCTCAAATCGTGAGAAAAACAATCTAGAATCTATTTAAATTTTGGTAATGACCTTTTAATGATCTATTGAAGTCTTCGATGAAAAGAAATGTGGTTGATATAGGGCAAAATGTTTTATCCTGTATCGTAGGAAAAAACCCAAGAAGTCCGAACATCTGACAAAAATTCATAAACCTGACCTGAGTACATCCTTAATATAGGAATGTACAGTAATTTATTCTTTTTTTTGGGTATCAAAACGAGCTATAAAGTACGATGACCCAATTTTTTTCTTTTAATTTTCTATCGGCTTCTATAAGATGTTTCTTCTCATATTTTATTAAAAAATTCCGTCATTTGGTTTTCTTTCTATCACGGTTAAGATAATACTACTTCCCTATATAATCCTTACAACCATTAGCTTGAAAACGGTGAATAATGAATTTTATATCCCCGCCTCGAAGAATATGGACGGGGTTAAAACTACTGAACAACAGGTATCTGACTTAGGACAGGTGCACAAAAATGCAGCGGGTTTAAACGTTTTAACAGGCGCCAACCTTCATCCTAACCTGAGACAGTAGTGTAACATTACAACATAAAAAGACACACTATAAAATATCAATTGAAATATCTTAACTCGATCAAAAAGACATTTAAACAAAAACAAGTAAACATACACTGAACGAATAAGTTTGATCTATGACACAATATAAATACAATATTAAAACGTAGGTGCCTATATAACATAGGCGTTACAGGTATTAAAAAACAAGGTGTAAGAAGAGTATCAATAAGACAACTCTCACTTGGGACAAAATGGCGTAAAATAAAACAACGTACACAGGTAAATTAAATATACTAATTTTGTTGTTAGGAGTACGGAAGTAAACATTTTTTACAAAATTAATAAATTTGTTGTTCAGAGTACGAGTACAGAAGTGAAAATTTATCGTCATACTAAATACTTGTCAAAGGTGGTACGTATTAAAAATAGTGAGACGAGATTAAACATTGATGATAAAAATACCACTCGACCTATTTTGTTTTTTTTTTTAATTTGGGCAAATTGTCATGAATCATACAGTACAGCATAAAATACTATATCCATCATAGTGATATTTTGTATTAGAGAATGGAAAATATAGATTTATCGGTGATTCTAAACGCCTAACGGGTGGGATTGTGGTTGATTTTCATATGATTAAGACATAATCTTTTGAATTGAGTTTTACTGTGCGTATTGCTGTGTGTTTGTTTATTCCACATTGGCTAGAGGTATAGAGGAGGGTTGAGATCTCACAAAACATGTTTAAATCCGCTCAATTTTCTGTCCCAAGTCAGGAACCTCTACCCTATGTAAGTCTTGTGTATGTGGTTTTTTTTTAGTTCCTTTATATGTTTCGGGGTTTTATGTGGTGTCCATTTCGCTGAACTAGTTTAGGGGCAAGCTGAAGACCGCCTCCGGGGGCCTTGGGCTGTTTTCTGCTCTTTGGTCGGCTTGTTGTCTCTTTGACACATTCCCCGTTTCCATTCTACATTCTATTTTCGGTGTGACTGTTTTTACGAGATACATTTTATAAGCATTAAATTTTATAGAGTAGTATTTTCATTTACTTAACTTTTATTTAATTGTTCTTTTCACTTTGGAGAAAAATCTTGGCAGAAACGACGTTTTCTTTTTATATGTTGTAAGATGGTGTTCACAATATCAGGTTATTAGCAGAGAAAAGTTGTTGAACAGGTTGTAGCATTAACGGTACCAATTTTACTGCACCAGATTTGTATTTCGACAATAAATGTCTCTTCGGTGATGCTCGAGACCAAAATATTTGAAAATCCAAAACAAATTAACATAATGAATATTGTAAGCTGCATAAAATTATAACATTTTCATTTAATGTTACTTCATTGTCGTCTTATGTAAATGGTTCAAGGTTCAAAGTATTCAGGATCCTGAAACATTTATTAAAGTCAAGCGGCAAATCAAAATTCAAATTATATTATATTAATAAATAGATGGGTCGGATCCTTGAAATATCTATCATCTAGACGTAGTCTCGAAAACCCGGAACAGAAAGTGAAAATTAAAATTCTTTTCCTATTACCTATTTTTGTAATATAGAATGTAGATTGTTTCATAAGAGTTGCATACGTTTTAATGCCTGGAAAGAGAAAAGGCCAGGAACAAGAGCAGAAATAGTTATTGATACTTGAGAACGTTTTCGCTTTAGAATTGTACAATTCCGAACGATTGCCACATGTGGAGCAGGATCTGCATACCCTCCCAGAGCACCTGAGATCACCCCCGTTTTTGTGGTTGGATTCGTGTTGCTCAATCTTCAGTTTTTCTAATTTGTCTTTTGAGTACTGCTGTTTGTCTTTTTGACGTTTTACGTTTTTTTGCCATGACATTGTCATTGTGTTTAAGACTTATGAGTTTGAATATCCCTTTGATATGTTTCGCTTCTCTTTTACAACACATTACTTATGGGCCACTCTAAGAAGTAGTATCTTTAATACGAAGAATGCATGAGACTTTCCTTACATCTGCCTTTAGGTTAACGTTCCTATTAACAATATCATCGTCCTATGTCGATATTTATTGTTAGTTTAAATGTAAATGCCATGTTGGGGAAATGATATTTGATAAATGCCTTTGAAAGCGGTTTTAACAAGTTTTGAGCATTAAAATCATTTTTTCTGCATCGTTGCTCTTTTTGTTTGATTAAGGTTTAACCTTGTTGTCTTCTTCACGTCATTTGATAAAAGATATGGCAATAGATTGAAATGTTGACCCTATTGAATAGAAAAAAACGGACATACTTTGTCAAGTTTCAGATTTTTTTCTCTCTAAATAATATTTCCCTAAGAGTTGTATAATTTTATACGACATGCAATCACTCCCACTCCGTACCTGTACATAAATGAATACGAAAGGTTGAGCTGTGTAATAGAGACTTCCACGGATTAGTTCCATTTGACGTAACCAACATCCCGTTCAGCTGTTCCTACTTTATCATTTATCACGCAAAACGACAAGTAACCAAAGAACTTCGGGAACTACATAACTCTTTGGTGAACATTTCATCCTGAGCTTTTGTTTTATAATTACTGTTGTGTGGAATGTTGACTTGATCTTTTGTATTTGGCCATGGTGTTGTCTGTCCTTTTCATATAATTTTGATTGTCTACTTGAAATTTTATTTTTATTTGTTTTTCCTTAATTCTTTAATACAATATTGAGTTTCAAAAAAGATCATGTTCCGGTATGTTTTAGAAAAAAAATGGTTTGTTTTTTAATAAACTGTTTTTGGTGGGAAGGGTATGTAGGGTGTACAATAGTGTAACATTTTACAGATCGTTCAAACTGTCACATTTTTTAAACCGGTATAAAACTAAAACTAAAGCAAATATAAATGCATTGTCTGTGACATATTGGAAGGCTTATAATTAACTTGTGGTCTCTATGAAAATGTATGTCAAATATGGTTTTAAAGATAAAAATTTAGCTTTTTCGAGTTCATTCATAGAATAAAAGATATTTTTGTATTTGTTTTTATTCTGTTATGATTGATACACTTATATAATTTGATGTTGTGATCCTACTTTGGGTAATTAGCTTTTGTAATTCTTTGTGGAATATAACGAAAAATATAGATAACACAAATATATTATGAGTAGCTAAACAAACAATAAATAGACAAATTACTGATAAAATCAACGAAAAGCATCAGACCTACTGGAACAGTAATTTTAAACCTGTCTCGTATTTCGCACATTCTAATTGCTGTTTTTTAAAATCTTCAATAGGATCCCATTTCAGCTCTTTTAGATATGGTTTAGTTGTGGTTCTTAGTTCTGCGATTGATGACCATTTCTTTTGTGCGATGAATTTTTCCAATGCCGGTTTGATCTGGTCGATAAAGTCGTTCAAAAGAGGCAGTTTTGGACTCAACGGCATTATCTTTTCGATCGCCATCAATTCGCCGAGGTCGACAAGGGAAGGATTCGGTGCTGAATTCATGCGGATTGTGATGTTTTCTTGTGTCATCTTGCGAATTATATGTAGAAGCAAATCTACATATCTACTATGATGCTCAAAAATGATTGCTGTCTCTATTGGTGATAATGGCCTCATTTGATCGGCCTCTTTCCAACCAAAAACATTCAGGTTTCTCAGGAAAGGGTCAGGTAGGTAAGCATCGTCTAAGCGTTTTGAAATGTAATGCAGAATGTCCAACGTACAGATTTGTTCCGAGCTGGATCCAGTACATTTTGCAAAATTTTTTACAACTGCCGACTTAACAAGATACGATGGTAAATCATGATAATTGCTTAAAATATACTTGAGGAATTTCTGGCAGTTTCTGTGGATATTATTCATTGTCTTTAAGATCGCAACTTCAGCAGGGGCAAAATCTATCAGCCAACATCCACAACCCTCTTCATCGTCATCTTTTTGGCAGCCTTTTGGCACCAAGTAGCATTTTCGATTAATCGCAAACGCGCGATCCTTATGTTTCTCATCATGAAATAATAAACTTCCGTGGACTCTCTCAAAATGTTCAATTTGCTCTCTTGTAATTTCTATAGCTGGCATAGTATCTACGCTGATTTCTGTGTCGTGCCATTTAAATAAAACGTTCCAAGCTTCAATTTCATGTTCGCCTAATATTTGAAGGACAGCGTGTTGAACATTTGGTCTCAGTCCCATATCAGCCAAATTCCGTTTGATTTGCTTTAAATTCCCAGATTTTTCTGAAAGGTCACCTACTTTTTGTAATTGTGATAGTAAATGTTTTCTAAATTCCCAAAAATGCAGCTGGTTGTTTTTAAAACAATCATTCAATCTTGCAGTGGGGTCCTCCAGAAGGAGTCTTACAAATCCTGGTCTGCATCCCTCCTTCAAAACTATTTTGTCAACGGGAAAATCTTTCATTTGGAGAATCATCATAAAATCGAATTCATGAGCTGAGAATAATCGACTACCTTCCTCCATACTGCCTACTGGTATAACTTCAGAAAGTTCAAACTTCTTATTCTCATTCAAAGCTTTTTCCCAAATTTTCCCAATTAGGTTCTTAGTTAATTTTTTTATATCGTTGATATCTTTGTCACTTGTACTTAGATTTACAGACCTCATCACAGATTTAAAGTATTTTGTAAATGTATTTGGACCCTCAGACATGTCAATATTTTAAAGGTGACGCTTTTTCTGAAATATACAAATTTGTTGTAAGTATTTCATTTTACACACTTATGTTATTCAATTATTTTTTCGAATCATTTTTTTTAACCTTTGGATGATTCATTAATAAGGAGCTGTAGTTTTTAGGCAAATAAATATATCAATAAAAAATAAACACTATTAGGAAAACGTACTACCGAACCTTTGATAATTACATCACCTCAATTTTAGACGAACCTCAAACTATTATTTTAAATCAAACCAATAATAATAGATTTCGATTAACATTACTCAGACAGACTCAGATTTTCAACAAAAATACTCAAATTAAAAAGCTTGAAGAATGTATAGGAGTTGTTTTCCACAGTATCTATGCTGAATGCAGTATAAAAACAATAAAAAGACACCGGTTTAGATCAAAATGGTCGTTTCAATTTAAAATATATTTTTAAACGTTTGATTTCCCACTGCTTTCCATTAGGTAATATGATTAAATAAAAGTCCGATGTAGATTTTCGGCTTTCGTTTTGGTTTCATGTAATTTTCTTTTGTTTCAATTTTTTTTATTTATTTTCAGTTGAAAGTTTAAGATCACTTACCCAATGTCAGGAAGATGACATTATATCCAGTTATTTTTTGTCTCTAAGAATAATTTTTTTCACATACTGGTTTCATAGCCTTTTTTTGAATTTCTGTCGATGCCGATATTGGAAAAAAGTGAATACGAGTAATCGTTGTCGTCAAATAGTTAAAACATCATGACAAAACTCGCCCCATTATTAATACAGTATTGTTTGCATTGCGAAGTAAACAATATATTCGCTTTAATAAAGGGTTCATAGTAAATACCATAGGCTTCCTACAACTGCATCCATATCAACTTGTTAAAATAAGACTAGATACAGTACAGTTTGTATAGGTTTTCTTACCGAAACTGGAAATGACTTGTATTTTGCACCAAAAAAATCGAGTAACAGTAGCAGTATGTGCGTGTTCCTATTCACATCCTCGTCCTTATGTTAAGAAGTGTTTTACAATAATGTGATTGTATTATTTACTACATGGTTCATTGCTCTTACCTTGTTTCCTAATAAAGAATGTTGTTATTAATATGCCAGAATATCTACTAAACATTCAGATATGCAAATGAATTAAATACTCCTAACTTTAAATTAAATTGCGGATTTATTACACCTTTTTTAAAAATATTTAAGACTTATAAATTAACCCCTTATTTTATGATATTTCAATTTTAATCAAAGACATCACGATTGTAATACATGTCTTCGCCCTGTTCATTCCTATCTTGATTATTGAATCAACACATACATATATTAACGGTAAAGTGGATAAATTGAAAAATTTAATAACACTTCCCCTTACCTTGATGATATGTTTGCTTTGAATATTAATAAGATTTATCTAATTATACTGCAAAAAATACCCCAAGGGAAGTAACTATGGATAAATATATATTATAAACAGCAAATACTTGTGCTTTTCTTGATATGGATATATTCTTGTATCACTCTAATTAGTTTTAAGAAGTTTCAAATCAGACAGCAGTATACAGACATCAGTTTAGGTGCAAACATATTGAAATGGGAGCGAAAACAGTTGAAATCGATTGATCTCCAAACGGATTGTCATTATATTCGTTTCCTGCTATGCATGCATCAAGCATTATACAATGCAGAAGTCACATCCTGAATGATGTATTACAGCCATGAACTCATTTAAATTGATGATGACAGATAGAAAATGGTGGATATTTTGGATGTAAGATTGAGTAAACTTGTCTCAAATAGGTTGAGTAAGAAACTGACTCTATAATATTCAGGAGAGGCAAAAGATACCAAATGTACATTCAAACTCATGTCGAAAATAAACAGACAACGCCAAAGCAAAAAAAAAACGGACAAAAGACAAACAACAGAATACGAAACACAACATAGAAAACTAAAGACTGAGCAACACGAACCCCACCAAAATCCGGGGATGATCTCAGGTGCTCCGGCAGGGTAAGCAGATCCTGCTCCACATGTGTTATCCGTCGTGTTGCTCATGTTAGTACAAACCCGGTGATAAGTCTCATTCGGTAGGTCAAATTCGGGTAAAGGGAGGACGGGGTTGTGGTTACGACGATTGGAACATATACGTCGTCATCTGTGAAACAGATATTCGATAATGGTCAACCAACTCGTGATGGCGTCCGTAAAATTTTCGAAGGGATGATTTGAACTGCACCAATAAGAGCTCTTTGTTTAATAGCTTTCTTGTGAGCAGCAACCCTCTATCAAGGAAATCATGATAGGAAACGCAAGCCCTGGAATATCGTATTAATAATAAAAGGTCCTGCTGGAATATTGCTACATAGATATGGAAAGTTCACAATTGGAAAGCTGAAATCATTTCTTTTGTCATAAAGTTTTGTTCTCAACCGACCCTCATTGTCAATATCTATATTTAAGTCAAGATATGAGGCAAACTTTACCCTATCTATTGCATCCTTTATTTTAAGTTCGATGGGATAGAAGCGTTCAACATTGTCACCAAACTTTAAATTATTTAGTCAGAGGATATCAACTATATAGCGGAGAGTGAAGTTAAAGGATAATGCTATCTTCGTTTTATTCTCCCTAAAAAGCTCCTGTATGAAATCAGCTTTATATGAAAAAAGGAACAGTTGGTTCCCATTGGAATGCCGATTTTTTTTTTTGAAAATCACGTCCTCCAAACGTTACAAATATGTTAATAATCAAGAAATCAAGCATCTTGATAATATCAGTTTCAGAGAATTTTTTGTTTGAATCAGAGTTATTCTCTATCAAGTACGATTTATCCCTCCCCAAAAAAAAGATACTTGTATCTTTGTTGGCAATTCTTAATGAAGTTTGTTGCCTGTGATCATAGAATTTGTCAGTAGATGACATCAGCTGTTTGTTTTTATTTTGCTGTAACGAAATATCATATTTTGATTCCACTTTTTTTAACACAAATATTTAGGCACCCACCATTCATCTTTTTATAGGAGGCTGAGAATTTTTTTCTAGGGAAAACATTTAAGTTTTCAACTTATTGGGAAAAATATAATTCAATAACGTAAAGGAACCAGATGTTTTTAACAATGATGTGTTCGCGACACATTCCGATTCAAACAAAAAGATCTTTAAACTAATAGAATCAGATTCTTAATTGTTTTATCGATAACATGGTTGATACGTTTGGTTTTTCAACAAAAACCTCATCATAGAAACTAAGATTTAAATTTGGGACGCCATACGCGCGTTTCGTCTTCAAAGGATTCATCAGTGACGCTCTTCTCAAAAAGTTAAAAAGGCCAAATAAAGTACGATGTTGGAGAGGATTGAGGACCCACAATTCCGAAAGATTTTGTCAAATACAGATAAGGTTACCTATTCCTGGGGTAGAACAGACAGTAATATTCTTATGGAAATCAATTGTTTTCATCTTCTGGCAGCCTTGTTCCTTTATACATATGAGGCAGAATTTAAACATAGGCTTCTTTTTAGGAGAATACACTGAATCTAGAATTACATTTTAACTTCCAGTTCCGCGATTTAAAAGATGTTCTCTCACTGAATAATTCAAGGTTATGTAGATAAGATCTGTCCATTGGACTTGAAATAAAAGATAACGGAGATACTGTTAAGTCTGCTTGAAATATTGACTTGTTTATTTGACAGATACTTTTCAATAGAAATAAACTGTTTTTCATTAACTTTTAATTTGTTTTCTCCAGAAATTGAGAAACAAAACTATTCTTACAAACAATCCCCTCTCCCCTACAGACACCTAAAATACATGGTCAGTGACTCTAATGAATTTGTATTGAATTTAGTAAAACTCAGTTTGAGTTCCTTAAGTATTACGTGCAAAATAAAGATAGTTTTTTTTGTAAGCTTTTCAATATAATATCCCTGTCAAGTACCTGCTATTGAAAAAATGCGAAAGAAACCTAAATTGGAGTTAAATGTTCAGTCTTGGGCCGACAGGAATATAGAAAATATGAGAAAATGAGTCTCCATATATACAATATATAAAGAAAACATCTTCATTTTGGCTTTTATATGTATTATGCATCCATTTTTTTTTATTTTAAAGGTCTTATTTCATTTCTTACAATTTGAAAAGTGTCTTCAATATTCAGTTTGGCTTTTATACGCCCTGTTTTTACTTTTTTTGTTTTTATTTTGTTTGTTTGTTTGTTTTTATTTCTTAGGGGGGGGGGGGGGGTAGGTATTTCATATTTTTTAGTATTTTATTTTCAATTCACTTTTGAGAAATAATGTAAGGCATACGTTATTATTAAACTTTCAGGCAGATTTTTTAGAAGATCATACGGAGTAAGAGCAAATCTTCCTGACTGGCACAACACGTTTTAATATTCTTTCACTGCAAATTTTTATTGGGTTTTATTTCTACCAACAATTACACATTTCAACAACTAACTTTCTTTCTCTCAATTGCAACTTTTATGTCAGGTTGTTTCTTGTTCTTTTATTTTACATTTCTAAACAAAGATAAACATTAGGTACAAAAAAAAAAATAAAACAATGATTAAACCTGCTCTGTTAACAAGAAAATGATCGGCAAAATTAGTGCGTCATTTGTTCCTAGTAATAACACTCATTATGAATACCATTGTTCGATTCAATTACTTGTAGTACATTTTATTGAGTTGAGAGCAAATGAATCGCAAAAACAAGAACCAAATAAACACCAATAACAAAAATTGCCTATTTTGTAGTTAATGATAACATTTCAAGTGTTTACTAGCACTCCATTTCAATATTACCAGAATATAGTTCTTTTAAAAATATTAAATGAATGTATATGTTATAAAATGCATCTGTATGCACTGATGGACATTTTTGTCATTTAGTCTTATTAACTACAAATATGGATATAACATAGTTACAAACTAATTTGTTTTTGTTACCGATGTCCTTCTATGCAAAATTTAACAAAAACATGTAAATTTTGTATAAAAATACCTTCAACAACAAAAACTAATGCTGAATAGCGTTTTTGATTTATAGCAAATACGTAAACATTGTTTGCTTTTTAAGTATATGATATTTCGTTTCCAGTAGGATTTAAATATCTTTGGATTTTGATCCTGCGAGTGAAAGAAATAGAGGACATTAGCCCTACCTTTTTCTTTTCCTTTATTTCTTTTTGGTCATTTGTTTATCAAATATGTTTGTAATTCAAATTTTATATTTTGTTCTATATAATATGACAGTTTGCAATGAATATTTCGGAATATATAATTTTCTGTAGATAAGTAAGTTAATTCGGTCCTGTTTACTCTTGTTTGTTCTTTGTCTGTTAGTTTTTTGTTTCTTTATTTTGTTTTGGTGTAATTGTGTATGTTGTTAGGGGGTAAACATGTAACATTTTACAAATCATTCAAAATGTTAAACAATTTAAAACTAGTATTGAATAAAACTTAAGCAAAACTAAATGCATTTTCTGTGGCATATTGAAAGACAAAATTAACATTATGACTCTGTGAAAAGACATGTTAAACATTTGATAAATTCTAAGGTAAAACTTTTTTCTATTTTTTAACTTATTTTTGAAATGAAAGTTTTTAATTCTTACGTTTGTTTTCCCTTTAAATATAAATACTATATATAAAACAGTTGTAACATTAACTAAAAGAATAAAACAAATAGACAAACAGTTTTCAAAAAGATGTTGCACGCGTTGTTGTGCTAAGCATACCCAACTCGTAATTCAAAATATTGGAAAAAGGAGTACGACAAATCCGGAAAGCGGTACAGCATTATAAAATACCACTGTCATGTTGCTGACCAAACATGAAGTTATTGTGTTCAGTAATAAACGTATTTACACTTTTGGTATTTAGCTGAATATTGTCTCCGAATGACCTAGATCTGACTCCGAATAACGTTCTGACGTCAAGCAACAATCACTTCTTAATTATGACGTCAAAATTTTTTAAATTATGATGTCAGACTTTACGGGAACTTGTGTGATTTTAAGTAATGGCGGACAAATTTGCATACAAGTGTAAATACGTCTATTCTTGACGGAAACATTTGTTTTCCTTCCAACGAAATTAGAAATTCAAAATATCGGTATTAAAAGTAAGAAGGTGTTTGCCAGATTCGAAAGGGGCCAAACTTTACATCCAATTAGTCAAGCTGACGACCAAGTATGAAGTCGTTTTTTTATTCAGTAGTTCCGGATAAAGGTGTGTCCAAAAGAATAATCTTTATTCGTTGAGTTTGCCAGTTCCGAAAAGCGCTCACATATCACAACTGGTATCGTCAAACTGAAGATCAAATATAAAGTCATTATATACTGTAGTTCCTGTGAAAAATGAGACGGGCAAATATCATGACTATTGGACAAACCTACAAACTGTTTGCAGAATATCCCCAAACCTAGCCCACTGCTATAGCGGGTATAAGAAAATAACAAAAAACTATAGCAGTAAGACATACTAGAACAGTAACTTTAACTCTGGCTCCCATTTGGCACGCTCTAATTGCTCCTTTTTGAAATCATCAATAGGAACCCATGGCAGTTTATGTAGGTATTGTTTAGTCAAGGTTCGTAGTTCTGCAATAGTTGACCATTTCTTTTGTGCGATGAATTCTTCTAATGCCGGTTCAATTTTTTCGATAAAGTCGTTCAACAGTGGTAGGTTTGGACTCAACGGCATACACCTTTCGATTACCATGAGTTCGCCTAGGTCGACACGGGAAAGGTCAGGTGCTGAATTGTTGTGGATTGTAATGTTTTCCTTGTTCATCTTCCGAATCATATGTAGAAGCAAAACTATAAATCTACTGTGTTGTTCAAAAAGAATAGCTGTCTTTGTTGCAGATAGTGGCCTAAAACGATCGGCCTCTTTCCAACCAAATATGTTAAGTGTTTTCAGGAAAGGATCAGGCAGGTAAGCATCGTCTAAGCATTCTGAAATATATGTCAGAATATCCAACGTACACCCTTGTACAGACCTTGGTTCCGTACATATATCAAGATGTTTTAAGACTGCCGACTTAATCATATATGATGGTAATTTGTGATAATATCTTAAAAGATACTTGAGGAATTTTTGACAGTCTTTGTGGATTTTATCCATTGCCTTTAAGATCGCAACTTCAGCAGGGGCAAAATCTATCAGCCAACATCCACAGCCCTCTTCATCGTCATCTTTTTGGCAGCCTTTTGGCACCAAGTAGCATTTTTGATTAACTGCAAACGCTCGTTTCTTATGTTTCTCAGCATGAAATAATAATCTTCCTTGGACCCTCTCAAAATGTTCAATTTGCTCTCTAGTAATTTCCATAGCTGGCATAGTATCTACACTAATTTCTATGTCGTGCCATTTAAATAAAACGTTCCAAGCTTCAATTTCATGTTCACCTAATATTTGAAGGAGTGTGTGTTGAACATTTGTTCTCAGTCCCATATCAGCCAAATCCCGTTTGATTTGCTTTAAATTCCCAAATTTTTCTGAAAGGTCACCTACTTTTTGTAATTGGGAAAGTAAAAGTTTTCGAAATTCCCAAGAATGCAGCTGATTGTTTTTGAAACAATCATTCAATCTAACAGTGGGGTCATCCAGAAAGAGCCGTACAAATCCTGGTCTGCATCCCTCCTTCAAAACTATTTTATCAATGGGAAAATCTTTCATCTGGAGAATCATCATGAAATCGAATTCATCAGCTGAGAATAATCGACTACCTTCCTCCATACTGCCTACTGGTATAACTTGAGATAGTTCGAACTTCTCATTGTTACTCAAAGCTTTATCCCAAATTTTCCGAATCAGATCCTTTGTTGAATGTCTTATTTCGTCTATATCGTTGTCACTTGTACTAAGTTTTACAGACTTCATCACAGTTCTAAAGTATTTGTCAAATATATTGGGACGAACAGACATGTCAGTATCCAATAAATGATCAGTCTCTCCTTCTGAAAGATATACAAATTTCATTTGATTTGTTAAAAATGAAATAAAAACTTTATAAATTTCGTGCGTCAGAATGGCTTTTCTAGATTTACCTTCATCGGGAACGCTCAAATTGAACATTGATCTTTTTTTTTATTTTATGCATTAATATCATCTAATTATGTTTATTTCGAAATAGTTATGTTGGAACTATCGATGATTCTTTATAGGTTAATGCATAACAAAAGTTAATTGCTTCGTACAGTTTTTAATATAGATAATGAATACTAGTATTCTTGTGCGGAAAATGTATTGACGAAGCTTATTTATTCACATCGCCTTTGTTTATTTTATTTTATGTGAACCTCAAAATATCATATCGATCAAAAATATGAAAATTGTTGGTCAAAGAAAAACACACCCTTCTAATTCAAACGCAAGCTAGGTGGAATTGTTGTAGTGGACTAACTAACGTCTCCCTTTCGTGCATAAAAGTCACTTGCAGTAAAGGAAAGGTACAAAAAACACATTTTCGTGCTGGAACAGTTAAATCATAGCAGATTAAACATATGTTGGACTCCGATTGACATCCAATCTCAAACCGACGTCCGTTCCAAATCGGAGTTTAATCCGACGTCATAGTAGAGTTAGATTCAATATATCAGCCACTTCTGATTGGCTTATTGAAGTCCTCTTTCGATTTCTCAAATTGAAGTCCAAATCCAATACCGTACAACCGACCCTGATCATTTTCATGGTTTGAAACCCGATACAACCATGCATGTTTTTATAAAGTAATAAGATATGCTATAAATTGTTCAGGTTGCAAAATATTATCGAAATGAAATATAAATGATTATATAATACAGTTAATTTCCCAATGTTTGATACTGTTTATTTCAGGTTTCCACTAGAAAGTATATATCGATCTCTTCCAATTATTAGTGTTTTCGAATGACAATAATAAAGAGTCACAATACGACGGTACGTGATGGTAAACTCTGTAAAAACATTATCAACTGCACATTTTAATTATGCATAAGACCACTAGATGAAACATTGAACTAAACCGATAGTTGATTCCTCACGAATTAAAAAAGTCATTGGGACAAAGATGGACAGGTTTCTGAGTGTTCAACTGACTATATATGCATATACAACAACACTTCAAATACATATAACTGCCAAAGATATCCAAGAAAATTAACAGAATACGTGTATTCCAATGTATAAAACAAAATGAAAAATAAAAACAGTAACATTGCTGTGTAAGAAAATATGCATGAGGATATCCATATGCAAATAAATATTGCATCAAATATGACTGTTTAAAGCCTCATAACTTTATGGAACGACAAACCATAACATTTTGTTAATCCAAAGCCACATAAGAATTTTAAAATCAAAAGGAATTTTTCGTCTATCAATCCTAATGGTCCATTTTGGTTTTGTGGGAATTAGTTAAAGCAAATTTGAGTTTTTGTAAGAAGTAGTCATGGATAAACTACAGTATACCATAATACACCCATCTAAGACGGGCTTCTAAGACAAAACTTATAACTATATGCACAAAGGGAAAAAATAACACCATTCCCATACTTAAACAACCACATCTTACTTAAAATTATGTTACAGCGAAGCACTCCAAAGTTTTTTTAGAAAGCTAAAACTTATAAAGTTTTATGAACTGAAATTTACAAAAATTACATATCTATGATTGTTCATGTCAGCACAAGAGTGCTGGCTACTGGGCTGGTGATTTAAAAAAAAACTTATAGAAGATTGTTTAATCTGATAGGTGCACTCAATGTAAAGCGTCAAGGTTATGAAGGTCATTAAATGCTCAGCATTTTTTTGCATCATATTCATTTACTAACTATTACGGTTGTAAGATATTTTTACAGCAAGGTCAAATTTCTTTAAAAACAGAAATGACACTTTTCAACTAGCCTTCTGACATGAATCCTAAACATTTTGTTGTTTATTATTACTAAGCAACAGTTTCATATTAATAACAAAAGTTTTAATGAGTGTGGATGACAAATTGAAAATTGATTCATACAAAATGCCTATAACTGCCTTCTCGAATGCAATTAAAGTCACTTTATGAAATTTTGTATAAATTAAATGTAATGTTTTATGTAAGATTCTCATCAAAATTATAATGAATACATGGAACATTTTTTTCTCCATAAAAAAATACAATTATTTTAAATCCAAATCCAAGGGGATCAATTACCTTGGCAACAACTCATAAACAAAAGTTTTATCACGTTTATTAATACGTTTATCAGTAGCTAACAGCTCAAAGTTATTTCAAGAAATTATACGACAATGTGCAACAATTTGGTCTGTGCTTACAAATATTTGCATAAAAGTAACCGCGGTTAATGATATAGGCTATCTACTACTGCACCCACCTCAACTTGGTACATTACAATTAGATAAAATGCAATATGTTTAGATTTGCTTACCGAAATTGAAAAAAGTCTTGAATTTCGCACTTAAAAATGTGTATCCGTATCAATATATGTGTGTTGCCAATACACATTCTTGTTTAAAGAGTGTGTTTGTAAATATTTACTAATTGGTCTCACCTAGTTTCGTAATATGCAATACTAGTATAGTCAATTGTATGCTCAAATATTAAAAGTATTGAATAAACTTCTACATTTACATTTAAAAATATTTAAAGTTAATTAAAAAAAATATCGAGCATGAATATGCCGTATTAAACAATATTTATATCAAATGTTAAAATCTAAAAAGTGACTAGTAAAGTAATAAATTTGATGGATACTATCAAAGACCCCATTCTTAAACATTATTATTTTTTCTAAATTTTAACAAATATTACCACCGATGAAGTTCTGACGTGGGACATGTACATAGATAATGGTATGGATATATCTACTTTGGGGTTATCAAGTCACTCCTTGTACACTGTAAGGCGAGAAGAACGCATATAAAAAAAGACAAAAAAGTACATAACACGATATCATAGACGACAAAAATATAACTTCAAGTACGCTACAATATTAACACTTTATAATACAACGATTGCAGTCACTGAACGCAAGCTCGAAGAACACATATCCCACTGATATATTTTCCATGAAGACTTACATATCTATTCAAGTTAATTGTACTTGTATAACCCAGTTAGCTGTACATTTATATCCTAGTAAAGTTATGGGTACTTGTATTCACCCTGTTCAGTCTTTCCTTGATTAATAATTCAACACAAACATTTGAAAGATAACTGTACTGGTTTTGAAGATTTGAGGGCATCAGTAAGTGATTTGATGGTTGCAAAGTCAGTGCACTAGCGACGCGTTAGTAATTTGCGGTGATCTGAAAGGGTTATCATTTTATCCAACGAATTCGATATCCTTTGACTTGCTAGTGGTTGTAGACGAAGGATTAAATTTGATCAAATTTATATAAGTCTCGATTTCAATAAAAATGAACCGGAAGAGGGAAACATAACAACGCTATCTAGCTGAATAACAAAACAATATTTTGAATATACATGTACAAACCAAAACCAGCGATGTCAGATGAAAGAAAGTAGACATTTGGGATGTAGAATTGTAAATTGATGCTTTTAATTGGATTTTACATTGCTATGACGAAATATTTCAATCTTCAGTTCTATAAATAAATATACGTGAAAATTAAAGCCATGATATTTTTTTTTCAGCTTTTGAATATTATATAACTACCATGATCACTGCTATTGTAAATTGTTAAGGAAAATTAGAATGAACTCGAATATTTTAGTATCGAGCACACAGGAATATAAATTTAGTGAGCAATTAAAAGATGACATTGCCAAATTGGCTTTTATAAATCCTATATTTTTATATTTAACGTCACTCATTCTTACTATGATTCAGAGAAAAATAAAAATATATGTATACAATATTTGCATACTTTGAAGAAATACAGTAATGTGACTTTGTTTGTAGACCACACAGTTCCACAACGATTCTCCCACACTGGCAGTAAACTTTTAAATGTTAATAAGATTATATTTCCCCCATAATGTTAAAAAAAACACTAACTACATCACATTTCAATAGATAAAACTTTCATGTAACGATATGTTTGTACATTATTTTAACATTTCAAACAAAAACAAAAACAGTTTTGGGAAAATAAGTAACGGTTAAACATGCTCTATCAGTACATGATTGACCAAAATTGGTGAAATTTCCCCTGATAATAAACAACAAATCAAAATATGAATACTTCGAACTATTTGAATTTGAGTACATTTCATTGAATTTCGAGACAACGAATACTGAAAAGGTCAACAAACGAGCTTTGCCAGTACAAAACAAACACACACACCTACGACAGAAAATGCACTTGAAGTAATGGTGACATTAAATATTTCTCTAGCACTCTATTGCAATATTGTCAGCATGTGCAACAAGTACAACACTATTGGAAAAAATCAACCAAATCATAATAGCAGATAAAGCTTGCTTTGCAGGAAAATGATCGACGTTTATCTGATTATGGTGCTTAGATATCAAATCAATGTGTATGAAATAAAATGCATCTCCGAGCATGAATAGACTTTTTGTCATAGGTTTTAATTTCTACACATACGAATATAACATTACAGAAGTTTTATAAAAGCTTAACTCTTCAAAACTTAATTGGTTTAACACTACTCTATCTGGTTTACGAGGAAGGTTACCGAATTCTTTAACAAATCTTTTCAAGTTCGCCACCATGATCATATGGGTTAATCTTTCAATTCTCTTTTTCCCAATTTACAAGGTTCTTCCTTCTTCTTTCGTGAATCATCCATGACCAATGCCGTCAATAATGGATGATTACAGGTTTTGGTCAATATACTAGATCGGGTCAACATGTTTTAACTTTTTAAAATGTTGTCTGGTAATCGTATTTTATTTGATCCATTGCCGTCATGCTGGCATATTTTTACGACATCAAAACATGATAAAAAGAAGTTCCTTTCGTGGTAGTTTGGGAAAAGTACGTTTAAGTTATAAACATGTAATAATCATATTCTTGAGCTCCGCAAGTTTGAATTACTCATTGATTTAGTCGAATTATTTTGAAATTGTATGTAATTGTAATTAATGCATTTCACCAAACATATTGATAATTTGTTCCATATTTGTCTTTTAGTTTACCACAAACTTGATCTATCACATCACATTTAGAATTTTCCCTCTTACAGTTGTCTTGTTTGTGTTAACCATTGGTTATTCTTTTTTTGACAACCAGAACAAAGATATTCCTGATCATGACAAAGCTATTTGAATTACTTGACGGGTAATTAATGCAAAGCAGTAGATACATGCCTTGTCGACCTATCGAGTGTCTCTCAGATCAAACTGTTTTACTCATGTAATTGTTTATTAGCGTCGACGCGTATGACACTGAAACTGTCATCGTATTATTACCTTCATATTTGATATTAAAAACCGTACTTGAATACAATCCATGTTATATTTAAAAGTAAAAATCATTGTATTGTCACCGAAGCTACGACAAAAGTGAGCGGAAAGAATCTGCCGCTATCAAAAAAACATGTAACCAACAAGATGCCTATACTAAATAGTTGGTGTGTTTACTCTATAATCAATATTTACTGACGACTACACACTCAAGTAATGCGTTATGTTCGTTAATTTTCTTGCAGCTCAATGATTGAAACATGATACAACCGATCATGTATTCATCAATTAATAACTTTGCCAATTGTAAGTAATCAGTAAATTTGCAACAACTTGTCAGTGGCAAAAAGTAATGAGAGCGCAGATCAAGTGATTATAACATAAAACAAGTGACGCTTAATATACCACAAATATTTGATATACATGTATACAATAAGCTTGCATTTTCTAGCATAGTTCCCTTCATAGATGGTTGCTCCTTACCAGTGGTTAAGTTGAAAGCATCCCTTCGAATGTTACGGAGACCACCACGAGTCGGTTGACTGTTGTGGAATATGTGTGTCACAGATGGCCACGGATAGGTTCAAACTGTGATAACCACAATCCTGTCTTCTTTCTTTTCGGTTGTGAAAATACCGATCGAAACTTATCACCTAATGTGTACTTATCATAAGCAACGTGAAAGCTGCCACACGTGGTTGCCCTTCTGGAGCACCTGAGATCATCCCTAGATTTTAGTAGTGTTCCTTAGTCTTTAGTTTTCTATGTAGTGTTTTGATGACTTGTTTGTCTTTTCGTCGTCCATCATTTTTTGCCAGTTTCCCTGGAGTAATGAGCTTTGAATGATTGATATTGGTGTTTTACGTCATTTTCAACGCGCTTGGCTGCATCATGGCGGCCAAGTTTCATTGGTGGAGGAAACCGGAGTGCCACCCATCGATCTTCGACAGGAAAATCGGCAATTTTAGTTTATTTAGATCAGGAGCGGGATTCGAACTTACAACTGCATTGTTGACTGGATATTGCTCACTGTATATGAAATGTTATACCACTATTGAAATAGAAATGCAGTCTTTTCAATAAGGCGATCGCTGGTTCTCGTCGGAAATGAGGTAAACGGTGTTCATTAGGAAAAACATTTATTTTTCTCTGGTTTAAATCTATTTTGTTAAGAATTTCGATTTTATAGTAATTGTATTCTATCAAGATCAAATATAGATTTTTTAAGAAAAATGCTACATCTATAAACTGGTGATTCAGAAACTATTTAAAACTAATTTGAATATTTGCTACATGTATTGTAAGAATGTTATACAAAGTAGTAATCGAATCTCTATGGTTGTGGAGTCTGGAGCCTTAACGTTTAGCTGTAGTATATGGGTCAACATAGAACTTAACAAATAAAATTATATAAACTTTGAGTCTTTAATTTTTATGACCTATGTGACGTCAACCACTTTATAAGCGTAGAGTCCCTTAAACCTCTTCAAAGGCAGTCGTTTGCCTTAGGAGCCGAAGAAGAAAAACCGTAGATCATCCCGAAACCAGCCCAATTTATTTATCTGAAAGACTCCAAACTGTTAGAATAGAATTGGTAAGAAAATCAATTGTGACATCGATGACGCCAAATATTAAATGTGGTCGACTGTTATCAAGTGTGTCTAATTACAAGGTGAATATTTAATCGAACTATCCAAAACACATAAAATAGAAGGTTATGGAACTAATTTGAAATAAAACGTATATCATTCCTTCTAAATAAAGCTTGAGGGTTTAGGACAAAATCGGTAAATTAATGTGACACACATGAGTATGAAAATACTAGTATATCATCTATTCATATGAGACAACTTGAGTCCTTCTTAAACATAATCCACCAAACGTTGGAAAGTAGCCACACATTATTACACAAACCAATAGGATCATTTTAAATTACAATAAGCCTTTTGTGCTGGTGACATCAGTATTGTTGTTCTCTTTCGTTCATTTGAACTTGAAAGTATCCGATATATTAATCAAATATAATTAAACAAATTGACCTGCAGAAACCATTTAGTGAGTCATTTATGCTGGAGAAGGAGGTGTCACAGTGAATCTTTTATAATAAGATAATCGAGTTGCC